ATATGGGGCCAGCGCCCTACCCACTGAGCCACAGGAGCCGCCCTTAAGTTATTTTCAAAAGAAGTTCAAAGCCCAGTAATCTTTTTTGTGATCAACATAATTTAAGTGTGCTGTGGGAAGTTTAGCTACAAATTCAAGTGTGCCATGAGATTGACAACAAAAAAAAAACACACAAAAAAAGAAAGGTTGAAAAAAAACACTACACTAGATAGACAGTCCCACCTGTAAAGTGATTTCCTTCTGTCCACAACTACTGCCATGTGAGCTGACAAATTCCAGGTGGCAGGAAACTACTTTCCTCCAGCCCAGGCCCCTTTTAGAATGGATCAGCACTCCAGGTCTCCACAAAACCAAACTGAAGCATTTGGCTGCTACCAGCACCTGTAAGTTATTCTCAGCCTCCAGTTAGAATCCAAAGAGCTGCTCGTTCCACTTCACTATCATCCTAACAAAGCTCCTTATATCTACAGAATCAGATTAGAAGGCACAGTGAAGGCTATGAAAGAAAACTCACTGTGCTGATAAACAAGGACTCTAAATATTAGTATCTATTCTCTACTTCTGTCATCTCAGGAAGAAAGTTTTCAAAGGTTTCAGGGAAATTTGCTACAATATCCAAGATCTGCCCCCCTTTTTTTTTTTTTAGATAAGGTCTCACTCTATCACCCAGGCTGGAGTGCAGTGACACCATCATAGCTCAAAGCAACCTCAAACTCCTAAGCTCAAGTGATCCTCCTGTCTCAGCCTCCCAAGTAACCGGGACTACAGATGTGTGCCACCATGCCTGGCTAATTTTCTCATTTTTTGTAGATAATGTCTTGCTACATTGCTCAGGTATGTCTCAAGTGACCCTCCTGCCTTGGCCTCCCACAATGCTGTGATTATAAGTGTGAGCCACCATACCCAGCCCAAAATTTGCTTTGACTTTAACGCTCTCCTTAATGCAAGAGCCTTCAGAAGCCCGAATATACAGCCTAAAATAAAGCGAGCAAAATTCACAGGAACTATGGGAGGCACGTAAACATGACTTGATAGTCAACCCCTTGAACCATTTATACAAACTGAAGACTGATGTAAAACACTATCAAACATGGTATTCTCACACACTGTCAGAGGGAAAGAAATCAGAAGAACCTTCTGTTAGCAATTTGTTACTTTATAGTAAAAGCTTTGAAATACTTAATAGTTCTATTTTTGACCTCTAAGAAACAAGACATATTTATTGGCCAGGCATAGTGGCTCACACCTGTAATCCTAGCACTCTGGGAGGCTAATGTGGGTGGATCATTTGAGCTCAGGAGTTGGAGACCAACCTGTACGAGAGTGAGACCCCCCCATCTCTACTAAAAATAGAAAAACTAGCTGGGTGTGGTGGCTTGCTTATAATCCTAGCGCTCTGAGAGGCTGAGGTAGGTGGATTGCCTGAGCTCACAAATTTGAGACCAGCCTGAGCCAGAGCAAGATGTTGCCTCTAAAAATAGCTGGTTGTTGTGGCAGGCACCTATAGTCCCAGCTATTCTGGACCTGAGGAAAGAGAATTGCTTAAGCCCAGGAGTTGGAGGTTGCTGTGAACTGTGCGATGCCATGGCACTCTACTCAGGCTGATAAAGTGAGACTCTGTCTCTACCAAAAAAACCCCCAAAACTTAAAACAGTTGTTTAAGTTTTTATAGGCTCAAGTCCAAAAGGGTACAATAATTTGTAAAATTTAATTCTAAAACTAACGTGGAAACCTCAAGTTTTTAAAGCTCTAGTTTCTTTTAAGAATCTTACTGAAAATTCAGATCCTGATCTAAGGAGAGAAGAGATATACAGTCTCCAAGGCCAGTGTGCCCAGTACCTTTCACAGTTGCTCTGGTCTCAATGTGGCTCAAATCCGCGGCCACTCCGGGTGTATGAGCTATGTCGTAGAGGGTCAGGCGGCTCACTAAGGGGCTGTTCTTCAGAAGAAGTGAAAGGGGCTGCCCAATTCCTCCAGAAGCCCCTAGCACAGCTACTTTAGCATTGTTCTAAAAAGAGGCACAGAGAAAGAATTCTTAGGATGGAGTCAGCATTAAAAGGTATCCTGCAAAGTATTGCACTGGGCCTCTTTGATTGCAGTGGTGCCAAAGCAAGACACAATCACTGTATTCCTAACAGTTTCATTCTGGGGAAATTCTGGACCTTCATTCCAAAGGTCCAGTTTCAAATGGGGAGAACTTATATGTACAGAGGTTATGATATTCAGGGTCATACCCCCAAAACCCTTGTGAAAGATAAAGAACAAGCTTTACTAAATCAAGCAGCTAGACTGGCAACTGTAGCCTGATTTCAAATCTGCAGCTTAAAAACTACATTTATTGAGTGCCTAGCATTAGGCCCTCATTGGTTTTAGGAATGAAGAGCCCTGCTGTTCTAGAGGTAACAAATAAGCAGTACATTAGGGTTAGGGGGAAAAGAGCTGTCACAAAAGCATTGTGTACAAGAGTAGAGGGGGTATGATCAACTGTTGGATCAGCTGTTTGGGGGTTTGGGGACCCAGAGAATATTCTATCCAGGTAGTGAGCTCTTGGCTGGAGCCTGAAGCAGGACAAGGAGCAAGATGTGGAAGAAGGAATGTATATTCGAAAAGGCTCCTTCTCGATGAGTCAAATCTACAGTTTCAGGCTTCAGCATTCCACATCAGTTCTCCAACTTACTGTGTGACAGAATCACTTGCAGAGGTAATAAAGACCAAAGAGGCCCTTGTATTTTACCAAGTTCCCCAGGGCATTCTGACACCAACCAAAGTTTGAAAATCACTATTCTATACCAACCTAATCTAGAAGAACAAGTAGCAGTTGGCCCTGGCATTTCAGCTTGAACAGTTAGAAAAGAGATTAAGGTTGGATTCCATGGAGGGTAGGGGTGGAGGTGGGTCTAAAGAGACTAGACTACCTCCGTAATATCTAAAAGGCTGAGCTAGAAAAATTTATTTCAGCTTATTAGTCAACCCCTGACACTAAAGCCCAAAGACTTGACTTTCAGTGAATACAGGACACCACTTGATCCTATTCATTCTTTAAAAAAAAAAAAAAAAAAA